AAGGTTGTGAGATCGGTGGGGCTGAGAGAGCTCTTTCGAGGACTGCCCTTGAGAGAACAGCTCTGAGAGAACTTGTGACTGGGCCAAGGCCACGCCAGCAGCTGCATGTGGAAGAGGAGTGCGGGAATCCAACTCGGGTCACCCAGATTAGAGTCTGCGCTCCTAACCACTAATTCCTGAGGGTGGGGAGGCCAGTGGCTCCTGCTCCTCCAAGAGGAGGACGGCTGCGCTTCTGAGTGCACTGAAAGACCCGGCGGCGCGCAGCAGTCACCCACCAGGTCAAGAAAGTTGCGGGGCGTTTGGTGGGGGGGGGGCTTTTGGTGGGGGGACCGGGTGCCAGTTTGGCACCCCTAAGGGCCAGCGCGCTCTAGGTAAGTGCCTAGTTCGCCTAGTGAGCGAGCCGGCCCTGCTCATGGGCAACCCCCCCCTAAATGGGCAGGGCCTAGGGATGACAACCTCCAGGTGAGGCCTGGAGATCCCTCAGAATTACAACTGGTGTCCAGACTACAGAGATGTTTCCCTGGAGAAAACAGCTGCTTTGGGAGGGTGGACTCTATGGCGTCATGGCCTAATGAGTTCCTTTCCTTCCCCAAACACTGCCCTCTCCAGACTCCACCCTTAAATCCTGAGGAATTTCTCAGCCCAGAATTGGCAACCCTGGCAGAATTCCAGAACTGGATTCCCTAAGCACATGCTGGCAACCATTGATTCTGGTTGGCTCAACTACATCCGAAACTCCACAATGGCTGTTTTCATATTCCATTTAAAAACAATTGTTTTTCTTGCCCACCTTTCAATGTATACAATATTAAGGAAACGAACACACAAACAAACAAACAAAATACAAGCCAACTAACAGGATCTGGCTAGAATCCTGACTTAGATTTACCGAATGCATGTATGAAAACTCGTCCACACAATCATAAAGAAGCGCACAAAACTTTAAGGGGGGAAAAATCCAGTCTAGATTGACATGGAAGATAGCTCATATCATCACTACCGACGAAAATCCTTTAACAAATTTCTTCCAGGGCCCTGTTTTTCGCGCGAGTTAGGCAGAAGAGAGATTCCTTTAAGCGAGGGAATTTGTTTCTGAAATAATGCAAACAAATGTAAAATTGCCAAGGCACAATGACAGCCGCTAATACTCTAACAGCTTTGGGAGATCTCGAAATTTTGGGCAAGGCAGGCATGCCAGCAGTTCAGGGAAGGCCATTGTTACTTTACACACACAAACAATTCACCATGGTTACTGGCCAACTAAATCGGTAAGCCGACAAAGAAAGAATAAAGGGAGTATATAAACATCAGATCAAATCCTTGGGGGGTACTGAGGACAGGATTTCTCTGCTTATCGTAAAAACTATCTGAAGACCAGAATGGCCTTACAAAAACCCAGAACCACAACAACAAAAGTCAAAATGCATTCACACACACACACAAAAATGGCAACACAGGCAAGTGCAAAACTACACATAACCCTGTCCCGGTTTGATGGTCTTTCATCCCCATCCGCTGCCTTTGCCAGTTGACAACACACTGCTACCCACAATGCTCTCTCTCTCACGCAAGCAAGCGCATGCACGAACACACTGCCAAGCGCGCGCGCGCGCACACACACACACACACACACACACACACACACAGAGGGCTGGAGCAAACACACACACACACCTCCCTTCCCCTCCAAGGAAGCCAACTTACCCACAAGTTATGTATCATTCACAACTAGCCAGTCCTCTAACTCTCCCCTCTCCCCAACCTCATCCAGGGAGGGTGGGCTTTCTCCCCTCTCTTCTGTGGCGGGGAGGGAATAAAGGCCCCATGGATCTGAAAACACTGCCAGGCAGAACCCGTGCAGTGCAGAACAAAGAGAGAGAGGAAGGGGAAAAAAAAAACTGGGACTACCTTAATCTCTGCACAAGGCAGCCAGGAGCTATTTTCAAGCTGGTTTTCTCTCCTCCCTCTCAGGGCATCCTGCTCTCTCTCTCTCTTTCTCGTTCTCTCTCTCTCTCTCTCTTTTCCTTTGCCTGTCCGGCTGCTGCACAACACACATCAATTATTCATCGCTTGTCTCCCCGTTTCCAGGCAAAACCAATCACAGATGGAGGCTTTGCTAATGGGCTCCCGCCGTACACGCCAACAGGCTATTTGCGCTCCCAGCGACAACCCTCCAGAGACAATAAAAAAGAGAGAGAGGGGGGAAAAGAGAGAGAAGCAGCTTTCGAACTTCACACTGTAGACCTGGAAGGAGCCAGAGAGGGGGGCACGCAGTGGCACCGGCATGACACTGCGGGGCGGTGGGGTGGTGGTGGTGGTGGTGGGGGAGAGCATGTGTGTATGCATGCGCTTGTGTGGCGGCACCACCATTAGCATGTGTGTATGTATGCGCTTGTGTGGCGGCGGCACCATTAGGAAAGGTGGCGCCTTTAACCCTCCCCGCTGAACAAGAGACTGGGGTGGGGGGTAAGGTGGGAGGGAAGAAGGAAACGCGGAGGAAGATGCTCACCTCGGCTTGCACGTTCACGGGGAGGATTGGTTTTCCTTTGGCTGTCTCTAGTGGGTCCATCCCTTCGGCTCTCCCATCATATCCATCTATCACTTTACGTGAGCATGCACGCACGCACACACTCAGATACACACACACACACACAAGCAGAGACAGCCACTTTGCCAGAAGGAAGAGAGAAAAAGAGGAGGGGGGGGAAGGTTAGAGAGAAAATATAGGCTTCTCGCGTTTCAAACTTGCAAGGAGGGCGTGGGGGAACTGGGAATATCAGGACAAAGGCTCGTGTTTCTGGGGCAGAGCCAAAAAGCTAAAATCAAACCCACCCACCCCCCGCCATCATCAATGAATCAGAAGCAACACTTGTTTGAGTGCGTCTAACAAACCTTTACGGGTGCCTGATTGGAAAGGAAAGGGAAAAGAAAGGGGCTTTGCTGGGAGAGAAAGCCAATGGGGAGGGTCTCTCTCCCGTTCCTGGTTTGGGAATAGTGCTGACTACATCCATGAAAGTAACCATGCCAATTAAGAGTCCAGAAAGAACAAAGCTTCTGCTTTGGAGGTGGCGGCGACGATGTTGGTGGCACAGACAGACACCCCCTATACCAGAATACAACATGCATATTGGCATAATTTTGGCATGAATCACTGGCTGGGAGAACAAAACAAAAAAAGCGAAGCCGACTGTTCTTCCCGTGTAATCGATTACCGTGCCGGAATATAATGTCGGGCTGGGCGGATCCGGGGCTGAGGTTTAATTTGGCTTTCTTTCTTGTGTCCGGCAGGTAACCCTGGTGGGAATATGCCCGTTTTTTGCAAGCTTTTAGGTAGTCAAGGCTGAGTGCAAACCCCCACCTCCCCCCAAACAAACAAGTACAAATTATTTGCTCCTCATTCACACATGTCTGGAAAGGTATCACGGAACCACGGATGAACGTGCATCATTAGATTGCAGGAAAAGCCCAGTAGCTGTACAGCTAAATTCCAGATAACTCTGCTTTTCCTTGACCCAGTTATCCTCTCCACGTTCTGACACTGGCAGATTGTAACGTGGGAACCAGCCAAAGACAGTGGAGCGTTTAGGGATGCACGCCTGATTGTGTGCAATGCTCCCTCTAAGCTGTGGAGTCTTGTGAGCGAAAATTCTACTTCGTGAGCTACTGGCAATAAAAGTTGTGAGCGAGCAATTTGGCCGCTGCATAAATTAGTCTGCTCTGGAGCTGTCCTTCCTGAGCGAAGGCAAAAAGGTGTGAGCCGGAGGCTAACAAACTGTGAGCTAGCTCACACTAACTCATCTTAGAGGGAACACTGGACTTGTGTGTACGCTGGGGTTTTGGGGGAGGGGAGGCACAGAATATGAGACCGGGCACTGAATTCAGCCTCCCTGAAATCTTTCGTTACGCGAAGGGCCACCTTTCTAATCCCCGAGGCTGCAAAGATAATGTTTGGTTGTGTGGACCAAGTCGGGTCATCTCAGAGGGGCAGCTAAGTGTTCACAGGGCTGTGGAAGGGCAAAGTTCCTTGTCCCTCTACGCAACACAAGAAGCAACGCAAGCAGAGAGCTTTCCTGGGGACAGTGACTCCCCCTTAAGCCCACGGAAGTCAATGGGCTTGGAAGGGATGCACCTCTGCCGAGGATGGCACTGCGCATTATGCAGTGCTGGGAAGTGCCGTCAAGCCGCAATCGACTTACAGTGACCCCGTAGGATTCTCAAGGCGAGAGACGTTCAGAGACGGTTTGCCGTTGCCTGTCTCTGTGCAGCAACCCCAGACTTCCACGGTGGTCTCCCATGCAAGCCCTAACCGGGGGCGAACCCGCTTCGCTTCAGTGGTCCGGTGAGATCGGGCTAGCCTCGGACATCCAGGTCAGGGGGCATACATTACACAAAGCAGCACACGTTATAGGACACAGTATGGACAATAAGGGAGAAGGGAGCACTCCCTGGGGAAGACCCTGATGCTGGGAAAGACTGAAGGTCAAAGAAGACGGGGACGGCAAAGGATGAGATGGTTAGACAGAGTCACAGATGCAACGAACATGAACATGAAGGGAGCGGTGGCGCAGGCGGTTAAACGCCTGTTGGTAACATCTGGTAACATCTACGAACAGCTGCTACAGCGGTTCGAAACCCACCGCGGCCAGGGTGAGCTCCTGGCCCTAGTCCCAGCTTCCGCCTACCCAGCAGTTCGAAAGCAAGTAAATATTGCGAGTAGATTAATGGGTACCTGCCCTTAGGTGGCAGGGGGCACCCTCCCCCATATGGGTGTGTGTGGCAGGAGCATCAATGCAGCGTTGGCAGCAGCAGCATCGGCGAAAAATGGTGGCGACGGTGGAATGGCGAGGCATCGGATCGACGAAGCGAGGTAGCGGAGTGACGGAGGCAGAGACGGAGGTGGAGCCATAGGAGGATATAGTGACATGCGCAGGCGCAGCGGAGCCGGATCGGACATTAGCTGGGCTGTAAGTCGACATGTACCACGCACTAGAGGAGCCCGCCTAGAAAGAAAGCCGCCAGACCGAAAAGACCTCGACCAGACACTGGAGATGCCAGGAACATCGGAACATCGACGCCTGAAAAAGACCACCCGGGAACAAGCCGAGAACAGCGAGCCCTGCCACCTGGGTGCCGGTAGGTAGCCCCGACCCCTGTAAACATGTGGCCTTAGTTAGGGATAATTCGGAACTGTGTAAACCGCTCAGAGACCCTCCGGGGTTTGGAGCGGTATAGAAATCTAAAGTATAAATAAATATAAATAAATAAACAAGCATCAAAACATTAAAACAGCATTTAAAAGAAGGCATCTAGTCCATGGGGTCGCGAAGAGTCGGACTCGACTGTGCGACTGAACAACAACAACAATGGACAATAAGGTTATATTATGCAAACCCATTTGATTTGCATAATATTAAGAAAGGTGAGAGTGTCTGGCTTTTCTCAAGTGCAGAATTTAAGAACATAAGAGACGCCAAATGCTGGATCAGGCCAAAGGTCCATCCAGTCCAACACTCTGTGTCACACAGTGGCCAGAAATACCAGGGGCCATCAGGAGGTCCAGCAGTGGGGCCAGGACAACAGAAGCCCTCCCACTGTTGACCCTCCCCCAAGCACCAAGAAGGCAGAGCATCACTTGCCCCAGAGCCCCTATCTATACCTTGTGGCTCATAGCCACTGATGGACCTCTGCTCCATATGCTTATCTAATTCCCTTTTGAAGCCGTCCATGCTTGTAGCCGCCACCACTTCCTGTGGCAGTGAATTCCAAGTGTGAATCACTCTTTGGGTGAAGAAGGACTTTCTTTTATCCGTTCTAACCCGACCGCTCAGCAATTTCATGGAGTGCCCACGAGTTCTTGTATTGTGAGAAAGGGAGAAAAGTACCTCTTTCTCTACCTGCTCTTTCCCATGCATAATCTAATGCATCCAATGGGGTTAGTTTTGGGACGGACTGACAGGTAGGTGGGTCCACAGGTCGGCTCAGTTGCCACCCACCCAAAGATCCACCTATAAAAGATAAGGACCAGTCGCCTGGCCCTGGCTAGCTAGCCGCATCCCCTCAACACCCCCTGCCTGCTTTAAATCCCCTTTTGCCCAGCTTCCTGTCCCCAACCCTGGCCTCTACTGCCCACACAGGCCGGTTGGTTCTAACGTCCCTTCTTCCCATCCATTCTTCGTTGGAACTGACAAGCTTCAGGACAGATAAGTATCTTACCCATCACCATAGCTGTGAATGCTAAAGGGACTATTTTTGATTCTGTATTCCTGAGGAGCTTGCTTGAATGTGTGTGAGCATCAGCATTGTTTGTATGTGATTTATATATTCTTAAGTAAAAGACAGATTATTTGAACAACACTAGCCTCGACTCCTTCTACTGGTAACCCCTGGGCGGGATTTGGACCTTGGTATAGCTGGCAAGCACCCAGATTAAAATTTGCCAACTGCTGTAGATAAAGCAGTTCGGCTAACAACTGGGCAGAGTTAAATTCCGGTCCGAATTCTCAATCCGACACCAACCCACAGGACATGTCGATGTTGGCGTATGTGAAACGGGAGCCTGATCAAGCGCCTGGGAGGACGAGGAGGGGGGCCGCGGGGTTGGGAGGGGGCATACCGGGAAGACTTCCGGCTGGCTTGACTGCTGCGGGAGGTGCGGCTCGCCCGACCCCGGACCGTGGTGCTGGGCCTGCCACTGTGGCCACACGCCGACGCCCTCTGCTGCCCGTGGCTGGAACTGGGAGGGGGTCGGCCCGCTCTCTCCTGCTGCGGAACAAAGAGACAAGAGACTGACTCACAAAAGCTCCTCCCCGCCACAAATTTTGCCGGTCTTTAAGACGCTTCTAGACTCTTGTTCTTTTCTGCTTACTTACTTTATGTTTATTAGCTTCTACGACCAAAGGTCTTAAGCTCAGTTATCAAACACGGATATACAACGTTAGCCTCAAAGTACGGACTTGACAATCAAAATTTACAGTCGAAGCAATCAAATCTAAAAGATCTAAAATGTTAAAACAGAAGTCATTGATAAAACTACAATTCATTTAAATATTCATTTAAATCATATTAACTGAGTGCCAACTGCATATCCTCTCTACAATGTCTTAGCAAAGCACAACATAGTATTACAACTTTAAATTGGTTATAGTTTTCCCATTAGGAGCTGCGGTGGCTCAAGTGGTTAAGACGCTGAACTGCAGGCTGTGGAAGGTCGGTAGTTCAGCAGTTCGAGACCCAGGTGTGCCGCTTGACGGAGTGAGCTCCCGTCTCTAGTTCCAGCTCCTGCCAACCTAGCAGTTCGAAAGCAAGACATTGCAAGTAGATCAATAGGTACCACTTCGGTGGGAAGGTGACAGCGTTCCGTGCGCCTTGGTGTTTAGTCATGCCGGCCACATGACCACGGAAATGTCTTCGGACAGCACTGGCTCTTCGGCTTTGAAACGGAGATGAGCACCGCAACCCTAGAGTCGGATTCGACTGGCTTTCGAGCAAGGGAACCTTTACCTTTACCTTTTTAATTTTCCCATCCTTAAACAGCAACACATCATAAATTCCCAAAACTTTTGTAAAACTTGCAATGATAATTCCATTTTACATCTTTACGTAGTATGTTATTATAACAAGCCCAAACATAATATCATTTTAATTCATGTTATTTTTTATTCCCATCCTTTTGCTATTCTATATCAACATCTTATTTCCAAATCTTCTATCTACTGATTTCATATACCCAAATTATGATTTTTCATCTTTATACTTTAAACTCATCATACATTTCCTAAACCTTCCAAAAAAAAACAAACACAAAAGAATAAACTTCCCAATATACTACAGCTATAAAGGTAAAGGTTCCCTTGCTCGAAAGCCAGTCAAATCCGACTCTAGGGTTGCTGTGCTCATCTCCGTTTCAAAGCCGAAGAGCCAGCGCTGTCCGAAGACATTTCTGTGGTCATGTGGCCAGCATGACTAAACACCAAGGCGCACGGAACGCTGTTACCTTCCCACTGAAGTGGTACCTATTTATCTACTTGCAATGTCTTCTTTCGAACTGCTAAGTTGGCAGGAGCTGGAACTAGAGACGGGAGCTCACTCCGTCATGCAGCACACCTGGGTCTCAAACTGCTGAACTACTGACCTTCCACAGCCTGCAGTTCAGCGTATTAACCACTCGAGCCACCGCAGCTATATTGTTACTTTAATTGAAATTAACTTTTACACATCTTTGTTATCTCAGCACCCTACTTCCAAATAAATCTAACACAATGTGACAGATTTATCAATGGGGGTCAAGCCAGATTCTGTTACAATGGGGGTCAAGCCAGATTCTTGTCGCTTTACAGACAAAACTATCATTAAAAATTTTGTAACAAAATAAGTGGTTTCAGGTTTAATATCTGCCAACAGATAGGGGACCACCCAAAGTTCAGTAGGTGATGTTTGGTAAGAACTGGAGTGATCCAGATCGATTGAGGAATCGACCACTGATGACAAAATAAAAGTAGAAGAAGAAGAGATTGGATTTATACCCCCGTCCTTCACTACCCAAAGGAGTCTCAGAGCGGCTGACAAACTCCTTTCCCTTCCCCTCCCCACAACAGACACCCTGTGAGGCAGGTGGGGCTGAGAGAGCTCTTGACAGAAACTGCTCTTTTTCGAGGACAGCTCTTATCAGAACTACGGCTTGCCCAAGATCATCCAGCAGGTGCAAGTGGAGGAGTGGGGAATCAAACCCGGTTCTCCCAGATTAGAGTCCGCGCACTTAACCACGACACCAAACTGGCCACAGCTCCAATCTCACAATTATATAAGTGATCTGAATATGGAACGTATTGTTCTTTTCTACTGATGCAGGTCCAGAGGAACAGATCGGTGTTCCCTCTAAGCTGAGTTAGTGTGAGCAGGCTCACGGTTTTTTAGCCTCCGGCTCACACGTTTTTGCCTCAGCTCAGGAAGGAGAGCTCCAGAGCAGACTAATTGATGCAGCAGCCGAATCGCTCGCTCACAGCTTGAATGCTGGTAGTTCACAAAAGTAGAACTTTTGCTCACAAGACTCCACAGCTTAGAGGGAGCATTGGCCCCCACCCCAAAAGACACGGCCTAGGAGCTGAAAGGCCCAAAGCCAGAGACCCTGTGAGGGAGGGATCCCGGAAAGCTGAGTGTTTCTGTGCCCCAACACCGTCCTGTGCAGAGCAGAGGCGAAACTGCGCGGCAAGAGGATGTTTGCTAACAGAGGTGTGAACTGGCCGAAGGACACTGTCGTGCTCAGGGTTACCCCGGGGCCCTTTAAACCCTGTCGCCGAGGCAAGGAAACAAGCACCTCAGATGTGAAAGGGCTGGGTGTTGACTCACACTCCAGGCACCTTTCTCAGAGTAATCGCCGTTTCGGTCTCTCTCTATCTTGCCCGTGAGATTCTCTGAACTTCTCCCCCGGCACTTTCCGTTTCCTTTCTTTTATCCTCCGCCCCGCCTTGCAGACCCACCCATCAGAGCCCATAGGCTCTTTCATCTGTCTCTCTCTGCGTTCCCCCAATCCCTGAGGGTTTCCCTGTTTTGCCCCGCCTCCCTTCAAATCCCCGTGGAGTTGTGCATTCAGGGGAGTGTCTACTTCCGCCTCGGACGCCGTGTCTGTCGCCCGTTGCCGCTTTCATTCCGAGGGTGAGAGGTAAGGCAGGGACCCTCCAATCTCCTCTGTCTTTTCCCCAGGCCCTCCCCCCTAGAGTCAAAGGAGCGTTGTCCGTGCCGGATCGCCCCTTCTCCTGAGTTCCCTCGGCGTCTCGGCTGTCGTTGAGGGAGTGGGTTGGGGGCGCTCGCGTCTCCAGGGCTGTCCTCCCCGGCCCGTCCACCTCCCGGCATTAATACAGAGCCCGGCACGGACCGCGCCAGTCCCGCCTCAGCGGCCTGTGAGGTCGCGGAGGAGCCCGCGGCAGGACAGACACAAAGTCTCCACCCTCCCAATGCTCAGTCTCTGCACGAACAGGCAAGAGATTTGGGGAGCCAAACGTCAGTAGTGGCTAGCTCCAGCAGCCGACGCAAGCCAGGAACCAGAGATGATGGGGAGAGGAGGAGGAGGAGGAGACGAAGAGGAGGAGTTGGTTTTATAGCCGAATGCACACCCCGAGCGCCGAGACTTAACCTTATGAATGAATCACACCATCACAAGGGGAGAAGGGAGGGCTGCCCCTCCAGCACCGCTTGTGACCATCAAGTGAAGCCGGAGACACTTACCAAAGCTGGCGCTTCGGTTGGAAAGGCTCGGGTAGGCGGCCCCGCCTGGCGAGGCGGTGGAGCCTGGGGTCGACATCGGACTGAAGGAGGACGGGGTGGTCTGGAAGGCGCCCATGGAGAAGGACGAGGGCCGCGGCTTCACAGCCTGGGAAGCCACTTGCTGGAATGGCAAGAGCGAAGGAGAAAATTGTGAGGAGGGACGTCACGGGATTCCAGGCAGTGCTGGAGCCGGCGGATAAATTCCTAGATATAAAATGCGTATCAGCAATACCAGACTCTGGAATCAAAAAACACCCGGAGGCAGGTGCCGTCTTAGGAGAGGCGTTCCTTTCCGAGAGGAAGGACTCTGCCAAAACAGTAGCAGAAGAGGAGTTCCCTCCTAGGCGTGGGAATGCCTCTTCCAAAACGGCACAAGAAGAAGCGCGGCATTCTGCTCCCAAGGGAGAAGGGATAAAGCAGCAATTTATTTATTTTTACCTAAAACATTTATTAGCTGCCTTTCTTCCTTACATGAAGCAGATGACTTGGAAAACGTTCGGCCAAAATTTACTGGGGCCAGAACTCCAGAAGCCCTCCCACTGTTGCCCCCCTCCCAAGCACCAAGAAGACACAGCATCACTGCCCCAGACAGAATGTTCCATCTATGCCTTCTGGCTAAAAGCCACTGATGGACCTATGCTCTTAAGAACATGAGAGAAGCCATGTTGGATCAGGCCAAAGGCCCATCCAGTCCAACACTCTTGTGTCACACAGTGGCCAAAACCCAGGGGCCACCAGGAAGTCCACCAGCAGGGCCAGAACTCCAGAAGCCCTCCCCCTGTGTGTCCCCCCAAGCACCAAGAAGACGCAGCATCACTGCCCCAGACAGAGTGTTCCCTCTATACCTTCTGGCTAAGAGCCACTCATGGACCTCTGCTCTGTGCGTTTATCCAATCCTTCCTTGAAGGCATGGGTCAACACGCAGATGTGAAACTGGGGCAGAGAAGACATTCCCCCGCCATCACATGACATTGCCTTATCCTGGATCAGACTATAGGTCCATCAAGGTTAGTATGGTCTACTCAGACTGGTAGCAGCTCTCCAGGGTCTTAGGCTGAGGTCTTTCCCATCACCTCCTGCCTGGTCCTTTTTAACTGGAGATGCCGGGGATTGAACCTGGGACCTCCATGCCAAGAAGAGGCTCTGCCACTGAGCCACAGCCCCTCTTTACAGCTCTCCAGTGTCTCAGGCGGAGGTCTTTCCCATCACCTCCTGCCTGGTCCTTTTTAACTGGAGATGCCGGGGATTGAACCTGGGACCTTCTGCGTGCCAAGCAGAGGCTCTGCCACTGAGCCACAGCCCTTCTTTACAGCTCTCCAGGGTCACAGGTTAAAGGTCTTTCCCATCACCTCCTGCCTGGTCCTTTTTAACTGGAGATGCCGGGGATTGAACCTGGGACCTTCTGCGTGCCAAGCAGAGGCTCTGCCACTGAGCCACAGCCCTTCTTTACAGCTCTCCAGGGTCACAGGTTAAAGGTCTTTCCCATCACCTCCTGCCTGGTCCCTTTGTAAATGGAGATGCTGCCGGGGATTGAGCCTGGGGCCTCCTGCATGCCAAGCAGGTTCTCTAACGCTGCGCCACGGCCTCCCTCCTCCACTTATTTTGGGACTCTTTGGAATGCAACCAATAGGAGCACTGCCGCCCTCCCCCGGGAAATTTTAAAAAAACCCTAAAGCGAAAGCTCGAGGGCCAGATTACTTGGGCTGCGAAAGACGGGCGGGTCCCTGAAGCCCAGTTCGTCCCGGAGACCTGGCTGGGGTTGGAGTGGCGAGAGATCTGGGCCAGGATCTGACCCGCTGATGTCGGCTGCTGCGTCGTGGGCTGCTGGGCGACGTTCACGGGGGCCACCATGGCGCTGCTCCTGCACCAATGAAGAAGAGGGACAGAGTTCGGAACCGGCCCAAAGAAGAAGAGGAGGAGGAGGAGGAGATTGGGTTTATACCCCACCGTTCACTACCCAAAGGAGTCTCAGAGCAACTTATAAACTCCTTTCCCTTCCCCTCCCCACAACAGACACCCTGTGGGGTAGGCGGGGCTGGGAGAGCTCTGAGAGAATTACTCTTGAGAAACCAGCTCTGAGGGAACTGTGACTTGCCCAAGGTCATCCAGCCAGCTGCAAGTGGAGGAGTGGGGAATCAAACCCGGTTCTCCCAGATTAGAGTCTGCACTCCTAACCACGACACCACACTGGCCCAAGTGGCTTCAAAAAGAATAGAGCAATAACCACTATACCAAAGAAGAGGAGATTGGATTGATACCCCGCCCTTCACTACCCAAAGGTGTCTCAGAGTGGCTTACAAACTCCTTTCCCTTCCCCTCCCCACAACAGACACACCCTGCGAGGTGGGTGGGGCTGAGAGAGCTCTTGACATCCTGGCTACGGGCCCCATGAGAGCTTTGATGGTCTACTGCAGACCAACGTGACTACCCTCCGTCACTGTTGTTTTGGATGCACGCCAAACACGTCTCCTGGTGAACTGGCGACAGAGGCGTTTAAAGAGCGAAGCGGACAAAAGCCACCAAGGACTACTGAAGCCTCTGCTCCCCTCCGTCCCTGCGCTCTTCGGCCGTCGCAAAACCATCCCCAGTCACGGACAGAGGAAGAACCCAGACGACGCCCGGAAACGGCAGAGGCGGGATCTGGGGAGGCCACAGGCCGAGGCGAGCCGAGGAACGTCCCAACATCACCTGAAGTTCTCGGCTGGGCGAGAGGCGTTAAACGCATTCCCCTGGGAGAAGAGAGACTGGCTGGCAGGCACCGAACTGGCAGAGAGGGCTTTCGTCTGGTCTGCAAGAGAGAAAAGACGGGAGGACGCTCGGTTAGCGCTGCGGCGGCAGAACAGGTGAAGTCATAGAATTATAGAGTTTGGAGGGGCTTTCCTTGATCAGCACGCCTCTTGGCTTAAGGACGATTTTACTGAGGACGCGTTGGCGAAGCAATCACTGGAAGGCACTTTCTGGACCAGAAATTATCATCAGTGAAACATCACTTGGCATGTGACTGCATCTTTGCAGGTCTCAGGCTCCCTAGTCAGGTCACACCACACAGGGCTTCAGAAGAAGATAACTGTTTATTAGTGGTTCCAGTACTAAAGAACACGTCTACAGATTGCGTCAGGAATAGCCTTCAGTAGCAGGGCCTCTGACTTATAGTGAAATCAAACATTCCCCCCCATGAGTTTAAGCCAATGGATATAGTTCGGGCGCGCGGCAAAGAAAGTGGGCAGAGTAATCAAGCCATTAACTTTCCCAGCCGTGGAAACGGTAGTTGGAACATCTGCAAGGTCAAGCGTAAAATAGCAAACAGAAGCAGGGCAGGAAAGAGCTGAAAACAAGGAGGAGGATACCCCCTCTACACTCCAGATCTATGACAGGGCTACCTAACAGGAGGACACATTTATATTTTTATTCTGTGCCTAGAAGTGTCACTTTGGAACAGTTATTTTCTGGTCCATCTTGTATCTGTGTTGCATAACTGTATGATTGTATTGTATTACGATATAAGCCAATATGCCCCTCATTGTGTTTGACCTCTGAAGAAGGCCTTTACAGGCCGAAACGCCTCAGGCCAAGTCCATTGGCCCTGGTGTGGTAGATTTTGGCATTTTGACACGAGGTGTGATTGGGCCCTTATATGCTTTTTAATTCTTTGTTAATAAATACATGTATCTTTTCATACTATATAAATTAAGTTTTTATTGTTGGCCCTCTATTCTGTTTGACTCACCTTTTTAGGTTCTGGATCCCAGGTTTCAGGGTTAAGTTCCTCCCCCCCTCCTTTTGTCCCTTGTTTGGCGGCTGTGTGAGACGGGAGGCTGGACTGGATGGACCCTCCCTGGTCTGACCCAGCAGGGCTCTTCTGATGTCCTTATCAGGGGAAGGCCTCGGTCTCTCTGCCCTGTTGTTGGCCCTCCAGAGGAACTGGCTGGCCACTGTGTGAGGCAGGATGCTGGACTGATTGGACCCTCACTGGTCGACCCAGCAGGGCTCTTCTGAGGTTCTTCTCAGGGGAAGGCCTCGGCCTCTCTGCCCTGCTGTTGGCCCTCAAGAGGAACTGGTTGGCCACTGTGTGAGACAAGATGCTGGACTGATTGGACCCTCACTGGTCTGACCCAGCAGGGCTCTTCTGAGGTTCTTCTCAGGGGAAGGCCTCAGCCTCTCTGCCCTCTTGTTGGCCCTCCAGAGGAACTGGTTGGCCACTGTGTGAGACAAGATGCTGGACTGATTGGACCCTCAGAGGCCCCTGTGTGAAACAGGATGCTGGACTAGAGGGACCCTCACTGGCCTGACCCAGCCGGGCTCTTCTGAGGTTCTTCTCAGGGGAAGGCCTCAGCCTCTCTGCCCTGTTGTTGGCCCTCAAGAGGAACTGGTTGGCCACTGTGTGAGTCAGGATGCTGGACTGATTGGACCCTCACTGGTCTGACCCAGCTGGGCTCTTCTGAGGTTCTTCTCAGGGGAAGGCCTCGGCCTCTCTGCCCTGTTGCTGGCCCTCCAGAGGAACGGGCTGGCCCCTGTGTGAGACAGGAGGCTGGACTAGATGGACCCTCACTGTTCTGACCCAGCAGGGCTCTTCTGATGTCCTTCTCAGAGGAAGGCCTCGGCCTCTCTGCCCTGTTTGTTGGCCCTCCAGAGGAACTGGCTGGCCACTGTATGAAACAGGATGCTAGACTAGATGGACCCTCAGTGGCCTGACCCAGCAGGGCTCTTCTGAGGTTCTTCTCAGGGGAAGGCCTCGGCCTCTCTGCCCTGTTGTTGGCCCTGTCGAGGGAACTGGTTGGCCACTATGTGAGGCAGGACTAGATGGACCACTGGCCTTCCCCCCCCCTTCCCACCTGTGCTGATGCTGCCGTAGATTTCAGCGAAACGAGGGTCCCTCTCCTGGCTGAAGAGGGTCTCTGTCTTCTCCAGCGGCTTGCTGTGCTCTGAGCCGGCGCTGCTCACAGGTTGAACGACAGCCTGGAGGGGGAAACACTACAGTCACTAGCCTGCACACGCAAATGCCAAAGTAAAAAGATCTGGAGGCTCCGCACACATTTAATGTGTATCCTGGCTCTCTGCCAAACAGCTCGGGGGGGGGGGGAGCAACACATGGCTCTCCCTTGCTCATTTTATCCTCACACCACCCTTGCAAGGTGGGCTAGGCTGAGTAAAAGTAAACGGCCCACGGGCTCTGAGCGGGCCTCACGAGAGAGCGGAAATGAAAACTCGGATCCCCTGCTCGTGGTCCAGTCCATGACCACCAGTGTTCCCTCTAAGCTGAGTCAGTGTGAGCCAGCTCACCGTTTCTTAGCCTCCAGCTCACACGTTCTTGTCTCAGCTCAGGAAGGAGGGCTCCAGAGGAAACTCATTCATGCAGCAGCCGAATCGCCCACTCGCAACTTTCATGCCGGCAGCTCACAAAGCAGAACTTTTGCCCACAAGACTCTCCACAGCTTAGAGGGAACCCTGCAGGACTCCTGTCTGTAGACAGGGAAAAGGCTCAAAAGGGAGTGTATAGGTTGGGTCCAGTGTTCCCTCTAAGCTGAGTGAGTGTGAGCCAGCTCACCGTTTCTTAGCCTCCAGCTCACACGTTCTTGTCTCAGCTCAGGAAGGAGGGCTCCAGAGGAAACTCATTCATGCAGCAGCCGAATCGCTCGCTCGCAACTTTAATGCCGGCAGCTCACAAAGCAGAATTTTTGCTCACAGGACTCCACAGCTTAGAGGGAGCATCGACGACCACACTGGGCTTAGAGACTGGCTCACTGCACTTAACAGGCAGGGTGGCGCAGTGGCGAGAGCGCCAGACAAAGACCTGAGGGACCGGGTTCAGATCCTCATGCTGACATGAAGCTCTCTGGAGGACCTCAAGCCTTTATATGTCGCTCTGAGCTCTTTGGAGAAAGGCAACGTAAAAATGCATTTATCTTACATTCTTTGCAGTGGGCCTGGGACTCAATTTGTTTATCTGAAGAAGTGAGCCGTGACTCACGAAAGCTCCTCCCCTGCCACAAATTTTGTCAGTCTTTAAGGTGCTCTGAAGACGTTTCCGTGGTCATGTGGCCGGCATGACTAAACGCCAAGGCGCACGGAACACTGTTCCCTTCCCACCGAAATGGTACCTATTTATCTACTTGCAATTCCTTGCTTTCGAACTGTTAGGTTGGCAGGAGCTGGAACTAGAGACGGGAGCTCACCCCATCATGCGGCACACTCAGGTCTCGAACTGCTGAACGACCGACCTTCCACAGCCTGCAGTTCAGCGTCTTAACCACTTGAGCCACCGCAGCTCCTTTTCTACAGATACAGACAGACTAATATGGTTGCCCATCTCCATCTATCTGAAGAAGTGAGCCGTGACTCACGAAAGCTCCTCCCCTGCCACAAATTTTGTCAGTCTTTAAGGTGCTCCTGGACTCTGGCTCTTTTTTACAGATACAGACAGACTAACACAGCTGCCCATCTCGATCTACCTGAAGAAGTGATGATCCGTGACTCACGAAAGCTCATTCCCCGCCATGAATTTTGTTAGTCTTTAAGGTGCTCCTGGACTCTGGCTCTTTTCAGTTTGTTTACATTACTTTGTGGAGCTGCGGTGGCTCAAGTGGTTAAGACGCTGAACTGCAGGCTGTGGAAGGTCGGTAGTTCAGCAGTTTGAGACCCGAGTGTGGCGCATGACGGAGTGAGCTCCCGTCTCTAGTTCCAGCTCCTGCCAAACTAACAGTTCAAAAGCAAGAAATTGCAAGTAGATAAATAGGGACCACTTCGGTGGGAAGGTCACAGCGTTCCGTGTGCCTTGGTGTTTAGTCATGCCGGCCACATGACCATGGAAACGTCTTTGGACAGCGCTGGCTCTTCGGCTTTGAAACGGAGATGAGCACCGCAACCCTAGAGTCGGACTCGACTGGCTTTTGAGCAAGGGAAACCTTACATTATTTATTGTCCGCCTTTCTCACTTTGACGCAAGGTGGGTTACGCGGAGTGAGTCCAGGCAACCGACAGGATGGGACGTTCAAGGAACCCTGCGATAGGATTAGGGATGCAGAACCAACCAGGAGTCTAAAAACAGAACTGAAGCAAAGCACAAGTAGCTGGATTTCGGAGGACCCCGTTTGGAAGCACAATGGAAAGGCGAGGCAGGAATTTAAAAGCGTCCAACTAGAGAAAGAAAGAGGCATCGGGGGAATATGGCAAGGAATATCCGCCCCAAGATTCAAGGTCTTTTTTTTTTTAAAGGAATGCCTACATTTGATCAAATTATGTGAAATTTATTTACTGATTTACAAAATCTACATCCCCCCTTTCTGCTCTTAATAGAAGAAGAAGAGGAGGAGGAGGAGGAGGAGGAGATTGGATTTATACCCCGCCCTTCACTCGGAGTCTCAGAGCGGCTTACAATCTCCTTTCCCTTCCCCTCCCCTCCCCACAACAGACACCTGCATGAGGCAGGTGGGGCTGAGAGAACTCTGACAGAAACGGCTCTTGAGAGAACAGCTCTGAGAGAACCTGTGCCTGACCCAAGGTCACACCAGCAGCTGCATGTGGAGGAGTGGGGAATCACACCCGGTCCTCCCAGATTAGAGTCTGCGCTCCTCACCACGACACCAAACTGGCTCACTTAACTTAACAGGGCTGCCAAGGCGGGATTGGGATCCCACGGACCTCTTCTGCGAATGGCAGCGCCTTCCCTCGGCATAAGGAGCATTACCCCAAAGAGAAGTTCTCCCGTCTTTCACTCCCGTAGACACACGGCTAGAATTCAGGGCCTGCCCAAGGAACACGCCCTCTCCAGACTCTCCTGTCATCCCGCAAGCAACGAACTTGAAATAATTCATTACCACAGATAGCAGCCGTGGCCGCTAAATCCTTCTGGTGCAATGGTTAAGTGTGTGGACTCTAATCTGGGAGGACCGGGTGTGATTCCCCACTCCTCCACTTGCACCTGCTGGGTGACCTTGGGTCAGTCACAAGCTCTGGCAGAGCTGTCCTTGAAAAAGAGCCGTTTCTGTCAGAGCTCTCTCAGCCCCACCCACCTCACAGGGTGCCTGTTGTGGGGAGGGGAAGGGAAAGGAGTTTGTAAGCCGCTCTGAGACTCCGAGGGAAGGGCGGAGTATAAATCCAATCTCTTCTTCTTCTTCTTTTTCGCACAGAGAGGGATTAAAATGGAATATGCTGCCAGAGAAGGTAGCCATGGTAATGGGCATAGATGGTTTTAAAGGGAGGTTAGATAGATTCCTGGAGGCCACAGTGGCTGAGGGGAGCCTCCACATTCAGAGGCAGTCAACCTCTGAATCCCAGAGCCAGGAGGCAACACTAGGGGAAGGTCTTGGCCCTGTTGCTGGTTGTCCAGAGGAACTGGTTGGCCGCCGTGAGAGACGGGATGCCGGACCAGTTGGCTCACTAGCCTCCAAGGCAGTATTAGCCGTTGCTGCCAGATATTGGGCATAGAGGAGGAGGAGGAGGAGGAGGAGGAGATTGGACTTATATCCTGCCCTTCACTACCCAAAGGTGTCTCAGACTGGCTTACAATTTCCTTTCCCTTCCCCTCCCCACGACAGACACCCTGTGAGGTAGGCGGGGCTGAGAGAGCTCTTTCGAGGACTGCCCGTGAGAGAACAGCTCAGAGAGAACTTGTGACTGACCCAAGGTCACCCAGCTGGCTGCATGGGGGAGGAGTGGGGACTCAAACCCGGTTCTCCCAGATTAGAGTCCGCGCACTTCACCAAAGCACCAAACTGGGTTGGGTGGGTGGTGGTGGTAGGGGCACGGTGCCATTTCAACGCCCTGCTTGGGAGCTTCACGGGCGGACACCCGGTGGCCATTATGGGAAACAGGATGCTTTACCTGTGAGTGTTCGTAACTGGCTATGCTCTCCCTTCCCTGGACCACGTCGAGCTCTGCCGGCTGAGATGGCAGCGGCCTGAAAGACACAAGCCGTCACTGAGAGATCAGCGTGAGATCAGTGAGAGATCCCGTAGCTAGGGAATTCTTTGGCAGGGGGCCTTGGGGGGGCCCCGCCAGCTAATTAAATGGAAGTACCATGCAGGTGGTAAGTTGGAGCACTTTGGGGGCAGCCCCGGAGGGAGGGAGCCCAGAAGAAACACGAGGGGGCCGGGCCCCGTGGGCCCCGCGTTAGCTACGGGCCAGAGCGTGCCTGCTGTCGACTCACAGGGCTACGGGGAGACCCCAACCGAGTCCCACCCCCTGCAGGACGCGGAAGACCGGCTCCTACCTCCCCCTCTGCAAAAAGAACCCCCAAAGAACTCCAGGACCCCTGGAGCTATTCCTCAGGCCGACTTGCAGCCGAGAGAAAGCCCTGGGCGCCCAGATGTTCCGGCCGACCTCCGCGCTCCAACCCACCAGAAGATTCCCCGCGTGGAGCTCTGGGACGGAACCTCACCTCCCCGCCAGCTGCGCCGAACCCATCTCCAGCGGCAGGCTGACGTTCTGGCCCAACTGCGGCCTCTGCATTGGGTTGGACAAGGCGGGCCGGGTCTCTTGGCTGGAGTTCCTGGAGCATTGAGGGGAGAGGAAGAGGTGAGAAGAGGACCCCGGGTCTGCAGTCGGCAGACGCACTCCAAGAGGTTCTGAGCCCCCCCATCCCCCCCCGGCAAGCCCCCGAATTCAGAGAAAGCCACCCGGGACCCAAAATGTCGTAGGAGTTGCTTGTGCCCATAATTCACTGCAAGCCAAGAGCGTCTTGTCTTTCTGTCGACGGATGGGCTTGGTGGCACAAGGGCGGGTATTTGCTCACAGGTGGCTTTCGGCTTGCAGATATCCGAAGCGAGCCAGCTTTTCCCAAGATGGGCAGGGACACGCAGCAAAAGGGCAGGAATGGCTCGCTTCCAAAAGAGCTTTCACGTGAGTCAGCCTGCCCCCGGGTGAGGAGAGCGGCTCTGCTTTGGCCTTCTTAAAACAAGACTAATTTCTCCTGCTCATAACAACCTCAGAAGAGCCCTGCTGGATCAGACCAGTGAGGGTCCTCCTAGTCCAGCATCCTGTCTCACATAGTGGCCAACCAGTTCCTCTGGAGGGCCAACAACAGGGCAGAGAGAACATAAGAACATAAGAACATAAGAGACGCCAATGTTGGATCAGGCCAAAGGCCCATCCAGTCCAACACTCTGTATCCCACAGTGGCCAGAAATACCAGTGCCATCAGGAGGTCCACCAGTGGGGCCAGGACATTAGAAGCCCTCCCACTGTTGACCCCCCCCAAGCACCAAGATGACAGAGCATCACTTGCCCCAGAGTCCCTATCTATACCTTGTGGCTAATAGCCACTGATGGACCTCTGCTCCATATGCTTATCTAATTCCCTTTTGAAGCCGTCTATGCTTGTAGCTGCCACCACTTCCTGTGGCAGTGAATTCCAAGTGTTAATCACTCTTTGGGTGAAGAAGTACTTCCTTTTATCCGTTCTAACCCGACCGCTCAGCAATTTCATGGAGTGCCCACGGGTTCTTGTATTGTGAGAAAGGGAGAAAAGTACCTCTTTCTCTACCTGCTCTTTCCCATGCATAATCTTATAAACCTCAATCATGTCACCCCTCAGTCGTCGTTTCTCCAAGCTAAAGAGCCCTAAGCGCCTTAACCGTTCCTCATAGGGAAAGTGTTCCAACCCTTTTATCATTCGAGTTGCTCTTTTCTGCACTTTTTCCAAAGCTATAATATCCTTTTTAAGGTGTGGTGACCAGAATTGCACACAGTATTCCAGATGAGGTCGCACCATTGATTTATATAGCGGCATTATGATATTGGCTGATCTGTTTACAATACCCTTCCTAATAATCCCCAGCATAGCATTGGCCTTCTTTATTGCAGTCACACACTGTCTCGACATTTTCAGTGAGTTATCTACTACAACTCCAAGATCTCTCTCTTGATCTGTCTCTGCCAGTTCAGACCCCATCAACGTGTATTTATAGTTAGGATTTTTGGCTCCAATGTGCATCACCTTGCACTTGGCCACATTGAACCCCATTTGCCATGTTGACGCCCACTCGCCCAAAATTGACAGATCCCTTTGGAGTGCCTCACAATCCTCACTGGTTTTCACCACCCTGAACAACTTCGTATCATCCGCAAATTTAGCCACTTCACTGCTTACTCCCAACTCCAAATCATTAATGAACAAGTTAAAAAGCAGTGGACCAAGTACTGATCCCTGTGGTACCCCACTGCTTACACCCCTCCACTGGGAGAACTGCCCATTTATACTCACTCTCTGTTTTCTATTAATTAGCCAGTTTTTGATCCATAAAAGGACTTGTCCTTTTATCCCATGATTTTTGAGCTTGCTTAGGAGCCTTTGATGAGGAACTTTATCAAAAGCTTTCTGGAAGTCAAGGTAAACAATATCTATTGGATCCCCCTTGTCCACATGTTTGTTCACCCCCTCAAAGAACATTAACAGGTTAGTGAGACAAGATCTTCCCTTACAGAACCCATGTTGAGTCTGCCTCAATAGGTTTTGTTCATCTATGTGCCTACTAATTCTTTCCTTAATAATGGTTTCCACCAATTTACCCGGTATCGACGTCAGACTGACTGGCCTGTAATTTCCCGGATCTCCTCTGGAACCCTTTTTAAAGATGGGAGTGACATTAGCTACCTTCCAGTCCTCAGGAATGGAGGCTGATTTTAAGGAGAGATTACATATTTTTGTCAGGAGATCCACAAGTTCACAATTGAGTTCTTTCAGAACTCTTGGATGTATGCCATCTGGGCCTGGTGATTTATCAGTTTTTAAGTTGTTTATCAGTTTTAGGACCTCCTCTCTCGTCACCTCAATCTGACTCAGGTCTTTCAACACCCCTCCCGAACTCAGCGGCTCTGGAGTGGGCAAGCACCTCTCATCTTCCACAGTGAAGACGGAGGCAAAAAATGCATTTAGCTTCTCAGCCATTTCCCTATCATCCTTCAGTACTCCTTTTACCCCTTGGTCATCCAAGGGCCCCACTGCCTCCCTGGCTGGTTTCCTGTTTCTAATGTATTTGAAGAAAGTTTTATTGTTGGTCTTTACATTTTTTGCTATATGCTCCTCATATTCCCTTTTTGCATGCCTGACCACAGACTTGCATTTTATTTGCCATAGCCTGTGTTCTGTTTTATCAGCCTCACTGTGACTAGCTTTCCACCGCTTAAAGGAATCCTTTTTACCTTTTACAGCTTCCATTACTTTGTTTGTTAACCATGTAGGCTTTTTCTTATACCTGTTTGTGCCTTTCCTAACCTGCGGAATATATTTTATTTGAGCTTCTAGAATTGTAGTTTTAAACAGTTTCCAAGCTTCCCCAATGGTTTTGACCCTTTCTACTTTTCCCTTCAGTTTCCTCCCCACATGTCCCCTCATATCAGAAAAATTACCCCTTTTAAAGTTAAAAGTGGTTGTGTGAGTCTTTTTGGCCAATTCCCTATTTGTACAAATGTTGAACTCAACAACATTATGATCACTGTTCCCAAGCGGTGCAATCACTTTTACATCTCTCACCAGGTCTTGAGTGTTACTTAGGACCAAATCAAGGATCGCCTCTCCCCTGGTAGGTTCCATGACCATCTGCTCCATAGCACAGTCATTTAGAGTGTCTAGAAACTCAATCTCTTTCTCTCGACTAGAACACATATTGACCCAATCAATGTGTGGGTAGTTAAAATCACCTATTACGACACAGTGTTTTTGTCTAGCTGCTATCTTTAATTCATTCATCATTTTATAATCCTCCTCTATCTTTTGATCCGGTGGGCGATAACAAACTCCCAGTGTTAAGTTTCCTTTTGGCCCCCCTATTTCAACCCACAGAACTTCAAGAAGCGAATCCAATTCTCTTAGCCTCTCGATCTTTCTGGACTTTATACCCTCTCTGACATACAGAGCCACCCCACCTCCAACCCTTCCCCCCCTATCCTTCCGATATAATATATAACCGGGAATCACCGTATCCCACTGATTTTCCTCATCCCACCAAGTTTCTGAAATACCCACAATGTCTATTTTTCCCTCTGACACCAAGCACTCCAACTCCCCGATTTTACCTCGGACACTTCGAGCATTTGTATAGAAACAGCTGTAATTTCCCATACTGGTTAAGCCTGCCACCTTCCTCTTGCAATCTCGAGACCTTGTCAGGCAGTCCATGTCACTAGCCATGGTCTCAGTGGACAATTTCAATCCACCTCCCTGTAGAAAAGCAACAGGTACCCCCTCATCTCTCTGAGATGAGCCAACCCGAACCAGAGACTTTTCATCTCCTGTCGGCTTTCCCCCAATATTCAGTTTAAAAACTGCTCTGCCACCTTTTTGATTTTAAGCGCCAGCAGCCTGGTTCCTTCTCGGGACAAGTGGAGACCGTCTCGCCTGTACAGCTCCCTCTTGTTCCAAAAAGAATCCCAGTGCCTAACAAACCTGAACCCTTCCCCTCTACACCATCGTCTCATCCACGCATTGAGACTCCTGATCTGTGCCTGTCTCTCCGGCCCTGCGCGTGGAACAGGTAGCACTTCTGAGAAGGCTACCTTGGAGGTCCTGGCCTTGAGTTTCCTGCCCAGCAGCCTAAATTTCTCCTCCAGGACCTCACGACTGCATTTCCCCACATCGTTGGTGCCGACATGCACCACGACCACTGGCTCCTCCCCAGCACTATCTACCAGCCTATCTAAAACACGCGTAATGTCCGCTACCTTTGCACCAGGCAGGCAAGTCACCATACGGTCAGTACGCGGGTTCGCCACCCAGCTGTCTACCTGCCTAAGGATCGAATCACCCACTACCAAGAGCCCCCCTCCCACCCTGCCCAGGGATGGTTCCTTGGTGCAAAAGGATAACCGCTCACCAGCTGGGGAAGAGGTCCCTTCTGAGGGCACATTCCCCTTATCCTCAGCACGGTGCCCTGTTTCCCCTAGACCCTCATGCTCCCTGACAGCAGCGGGGCTGCCAGATCCAGAGTGGGACGTAGCTAACAAGTCCCCGAGAGTCTTTTCTGTGCGCCTAGCTGACTGTCTCTGCTTCTCCAGGTCAGCCACCTTGGCCTCAAGGGAGCACACACGTTCCCTGAGAACCAGGAGCTCCTTGCACCGAGCACACACCCAAGACTTCTGCCCAGTGGGCAGATAGTCATACATGTGACACTCTGTGCAAAACACTGGATAGCCCCCAACCCCCTGCTGGCATTCTGGCTTCATAATTCTTTTAAAATAAGTAAATGTAATCCCCCTTTTAAATCCCTTTGTATTTATGTGTTTTTTTCTTGTCAAAGTCAAATTACTTTATGGGGAAAACAAGGAGCCTAGGGTTTTCACTTTCTGCCTCTTCTTGGGCGTCTCACAGAGCCCCTAGTCCAAGAGTCCCTGGGCTAAGAGCCACGGGCAAAGAGCCCTTTAGCTCGCCCTTCGGCTCGTGCCAGAGGCTCGTGCCTCTGGCAAGGTGCTTCCTTAAATAGAGGCCTCCCCCAGCAGAGTGCTGGCAGCAGCTATTCAAATGCACCCAGGCACTCAATCACATGCAAAACAATG